AGTAGAAGGGAGAAAAAGTTAGCATATGAGAAGTTTTTAAACAAAGTAGAAGGATGCAAGGAGGAAGAGTATATGGAGAAAAAGAGAGAAGTTAAGAGAGTGGTGAAGCAATGTAAAAAGAGAGCAAATGAGAGAGTGGGTGAGATGTTATCAACAAATTTTGTTGAAAATAAGAAAAAGTTTTGGAGTGAGATTAACAAGTTAAGAAAGCCTAGAGAACAAAGGGATTTGTCAGTTAAAAATAGGAGAGGAGAGTTATTAAATGGAGAGTTAGAGGTATTGGGAAGAGGGAAAGGGAAAATTTATTTTGAGAATTGTTAAATGTTGATGAAGATAGGGAAGCTGTGATTTCGTGTATAGGGCAAGGAGGAATAACATCTTGTAAGAGTGAGGAAGAGCCAGTTTTTAGTGTGGGGGAAAGTTTCGTGAGGCAGTAGGTAAAATGAAAGGGGGTAAGGAAAGCCGGGATTGATGGATAAAGAAAAGAAATGTTAAAAGCAGGTGGGGATATAGTTTTGGAGTGGTTGGTGCAATTTTTTAAATAAATGTATGGAAGAGGGTAAGGTACCTAGGGATTGGCAGAGAGCATGCATAGTTCCTTTGTATAAAGGCAAAGGGGATAAAAGAGGGGTGCAAAAATTATAGGGGATAAGTCTGTTGAGTGTACCTGGTAAAGTGTATGGTAGAGTTATAATTTGGGAAAAAATTAAGAGTAAGACGGGGAATAGGATAGCAGATGAACAAGGAGGCTTTAGGAAAGGTAGGGGGTGTGTGGACCAGGTGTTTACAGTGAAACATATAAAGTGAACAGTATTTAGATAAGGCTAAGAGGTCTTTGGGCATTTATGGAAGAAAAGGCGTATGACAGGGGGGATAGGGGGGCAATGTGGGGAGATGTTGCAAGTGTATGGTGGGAGGAGGTAGGTTACTGAAAGCAGTGAAGAGTTTTACGAGGATAGTGAGGCTCAAGTTAGAGTATGTAGGAAAGAGGGAAATTTTTTCCCAGTAAAGTAGGCCTTAGACAAGGATGTGTTGATGTCACCGTGGTTGTTTAATATATTTATAGATGGGGTTTTAAAAAAAGTAAATGCGAGGGTCTTGGCAAGAGGCGTGGAGTTAAAAGATAAAGAATCACACACAAAGTGGGAGTTGTCACAGCTGCTCTTTGCTGATGACACTGTGCTCTTGGGAGATTCTGAAGAGAAGTTGCCCGAGATTGGTGGATGAATTTGGTAGGGTGTGCAAAAGAAGAAAATTAAAGGTGAATACAGGAAAGAGTAAGGTTTATGAGGATAACAAAAAGATTAGGTGATGAAAGATTGAATATCAGATTGGAGGGAGAGAGTATGGAGGAGGTGAACGTATTCAGATATTTGGGAGTGGACGTGTCAGCGGATGGGTCTATGAAAGATAGGTGAATCGTAGAATTGATGAGGGAAAAAGAGTGAGTGGTGCACTTAGGAGTCTGTGGAGACAAAGAACTTTGTCCTTGGAGGAAAAGAGGGGAATGTTAGAGTTAGTTTTACCAACGCCTTATATGGGTGTGAAGCGGGGGTTTAAAAGTTCAGCGAGGAGAAGGCGGGGCAGTGGAGATGTCATTTTGGGGGGAAATGTTGGTGTGAATATAATGCAGGAATTCGTAGTTTAAAAGTTAGGAGGAGGTGGGGATTCCCAAAACTGTTGTCCGAGGGCGAGGGGGGGTTTTGTTGGGTGGTTCACATGTAGAGAGGGGAGCGAAACAGAATGCTTCAAGAGTGTACAGTCTGTAGTGGAAGGGAAGGGGGGGGGTAGGGGTCGGTGGGAAAGGGTTGGAGGGAGGGGGTAAGGAGGTTTTGTGCGAGGGTTGGGACTTCCGCAGGCATGCGTGAGGTTTTTGAAGGAGTGATGGAGACAAAGGGTTTTTTAAATACTTGACGTGCTTTTGGGAGTGTGAGAAAAGAAACATTTTAAAGGGATTCAGGGAAAGGGGCAGGGGGACTTGAGTCCTGGGTGGGAAGTACAGTGCCTGCACTCTGAAGGGGGGGTGAAATGTTGCATTTTAAAAAAACGTAGTGTAAAGCCCCCTTCTGGCAAGACATGGGAGTGAAGAGGGTGAAAGTTTTTTTTTTTCGGCCCCCCTGCCTTGGTGGGAATCGGCCGGTGTGATAATAAAAAAAAAATAAAAAAAATATGTATAGAGATACACAACATATCCCTCCAAACTGCCAATATCCCAAACTCCTCCTTTAAAGTGCAGGCATTGTACTTCCCATTTCCAGGACTCAAGTCCGACTATATGAAAATAACCGGTTTCCTGAATCCCTTCACTAAATATTACCCTGCTCACACTCCAACAGATCGTCAGGTCCCAAGTATCATTCGTCTCCATTCACTCCTATCTAACACGCTCACGCACGCTTGCTGGAAGTCCAAGCCCCTCACCCACAAAACCTCCTTTACCCCCTCTTTCCAACCCTTTCGAGGACGACCCCTACCCCTCTTTCCTTCCCTATAGATTTTATATGCTTTCCATGTCATTCTACTTTGATCCATTCTCTCTAAATGACCAAACCACCTCAACAACCCCTCTTCTGCCCTCTGACTAATGCTTTTATTAACTCCACACCTTCTCCTAATTTCCACACTCCGAATTTTCTGCATAATATTTACACCACACATTGCCCTTAGACAGGACATCTCCACTGCCTCCAACCGTCTCCTCGCTGCTGCATTTACCACCCAAGCTTCACATCCATAAAAGAGTGTTGGTACTACTATACTTTCATACATTCCCTTCTTTGCCTCCATAGATAACGTTTTTTGACTCCACATATACCTCAACGCACCACTCACCTTTTTTCCTCATCAATTCTATGATTAACCTCATCCTTCATAAATCCATCCGCCGACACGTCAACTCCCAAGTATCTGAAAACATTCACTTCTTCCATACTCCTCCTCCCCAATTTGATATCCAATTTTTCTTTATCTAAATCATTTGATACCTCATCACCTTACTCTTTTCTATGTTCACTTTCAACTTTCTACCTTTACACACATTCTCAAACTCATCCACTAACCTTTGTAATTTTTCTTTAGAATCTCCCATAAGCACAGTATCATCAGCAAAAAGTAACTGTGTCAATTCCCATTTTGAATTTGATTCCCCATAATTTAATCCCACCCCTCTCCCAAACACCCTAGCATTTACTTCTTTTACAACCCCATCTATAAATATATTAAACAACCATGGTGACATTACACATCCCTGTCTAAGACCTACTTTTACCGGGAAGTATTCTCCCTCTCTTCTACACACCCTAACCTGAGCCTCACTATCCTCATAAAAGCTCTTTACAGCATTTAGTAACTTACCACTTATTCCATATACTTGCAACATCTGCCACATTGCTCCTCTATCCACTCTATCATATGCCTTTTCTAAATCCATAAATGCAATAAAAAACTTCCCTACCTTTATCTAAATACTGTTCACATATATGTTTCAATGTAAACACTTGATCTACACATCCCCTACCCACTCTGAAGCCTCCTTGCTCGTCCGCAATTCTACATTCTGTCTTACCTCTAATTCTTTCAATTATAACCCTACCGTATACTTTTCCTGGTATACTCAGTAAACTTATTCCTCTATAATTTTTACAATCTCTTTTGTCCCCTTTCCCTTTATAAAAAGGGACTATACATGCTCTCCGCCAATCCCTAGGTACCTTCCCCTCTTTAAACCCATTTATTAAACAAAAGTACCAACCACTCCAACACTATATCCCCCCTGCTTTTAACATTTCTGTCATGATCCCATCAGTTCCAGCTGCTTTACCCCCTTTCATTCTACGTAATGCCTCACTTTACCTCCACCACACTTACATTTGCTTTTCTTCACTCCTAAAAGATGGTATACCTCCCTGGCCAGGCATGAAATTACCGCCTCCCTTTCTTCCTTAACATTTAAAAGTTTCCTCAAAATTTCTCGCCATCTACCTATACCTCCCTCTCCCCATCTACTAAACTCCCCTACTCTGTTTTTAACTGACAAATCCATACTTTCCCTGGGCTTTTTTAAAACTTGTTTAACTCACTCCAAAATTTTTTCTTATTTTCAAAAAAAATTTCTTGACAGTGCCTCTCCCACTCTTTCATCTGCTCTCCTTTTGCACTCTCTCACCACTCTCTTCACCTTTCTTTTACTCTCCATATACTCTGCTCTTCTTAAACACTTCTGCTTTGTAAAAACCTCTGTAAGCTACCTTTTTCTCTTTTATCACACCCTTTACTTCATCATTCCCCCAATCACTCCTCTTTCCTCCGCCCCCACCCTCCTATAAACCCCAAACTTCTGCCCCACATTCTAATACTGCATTTTTAAAACTATTCCAACCCTCTTCAACCCCCCCACTACTCATCTTTGCACTAGCCCACCTTTCTGCCAATAGTCGCTTATATCTCGCCCGAACTTCCTCCTCCCTTAGTTTATACACTTTCACCTCCCTCTTACTTGTTGTTGCCACCTTCCTCTTTTCCCATCTACCTCTTACTCTAACTGTAGCTACAACTAAATAATGATCCGATATATCAGTTGCCCCTCTATAAACATGTACATCCTGGAGCCTACCCATCAACCTTTTATCCACCAATACATAATCTAACAAACTACTTTCATTACGTGCTACATCATACCTTGTATATTTATTTATCCTCTTTTTCATAAAATATGTATTACTTATTACCAAATTTCTTTCTACACATAGCTCAATTAAAGGCTCCCTATTTACATTTACCGCCTTTTTAAGTAAATTATTATTATTATAGGAGTAAATTATTAAAGTAATTATCCTATTCATTCCATGTTCAATCTGACTTCACATTTGAAGAATATACATTGTGTTTTTCCTTGGAAATGTTACAAATCTTCTTTTTTCAGTCTTTTATATAATCTGCAGATAACAATAGCTCAGAAGCTTGAACCTAGTATAAAATAACCTGTGATCTTGAAAACTTACATTATTCAGCAAGCATGCCATTCTTGTGTCTCCATCTGCTCCTTGCTGCCATACTCGCAAGTAGTCACCACTAGTGGCCAGTAGGTCAGGATATATACCTTTCTGTTAAAAAATAAATAAAATCTAATATAAACCCACTGCCTGCAAGAGTATGGAAATTGTTAAAACTGAATACTTTCATCTGAATCTAAGGTTTCCTTCATCAAATCAAGTGAGAACGAAGTAGCTGCTTATACTGTGACAGTCTGAGGTCACATGTCACCTATAAGAATGAGGAAGTCAGATCAGGTGACTGCCTCTCCATAAAACTGAGATATTAGTGTCCACATAACATAATTTACTGCATCCATTGTCCAGAAGACATGCTAAGTTTGCAATGTTATTTACAAGAGGGCCCCACTTATACAGCACCCTCTTTTCACTGTTCCATGTTTTTGTTGGTTTTCAATTGAGCCATATGCTCATCATGTTCAGTGCTTTCACCATTTTTTCCCTGTTTTTGCACAACACTTGCATAAGGGAAAGGCAACCAACACCATATCTTAAGGCAAGTATTGTATATACGTATGTACTGTCAATTTATTTTAGTTTTATTTTTTTTAGGCCTAGCTGTATTGAGTATTTAATACAATAGACTGTTATATTACATGGTAGTTACATTCCTGAAAACACCATGTTAAGTAAAACCATGTTAGATAAACTAAAGAACTTAGGGGAAAAATAGGGTTACGTTCAGATTTGGTGGTATGACACGGTGCACCTTCCTGCATAAAAACTGTAGCCCCCCACACTTGTCAAATGCCTCAGGTAAATTGTCACACAACTCCAGGTAATTATACTAATTCATATACTGGTTTTTGAGAAACACAATGAGTTCACCAACACTCTGAGCACTGAAACACCCCAAACCATGAGCGAGTCTGGGTGTTTGGTGGTCCCATAGGTGTAGCGTGGGTCTAGCGGGTCACTACCTCTGGGCCGGTATATGTCCCCCACGGTTACAGGTGACAGTGAAGGTTGCTTCATCACTCCAAAGTACTTCAGACCACTGTTGAGGATTCCAGTGAACATATTTCTTTGCATAATCCAGCCTACATTTCTTCTGTGGCTTGGAGAGGATCAGTTTCTTAATCTGGTGGTGGCTACTGTAGCCCAGTTCTGACACATCTGTATACAGTTCTTGCAGACACCTCTGAGAGATGTGGGTTCTTTTCTTTTAATTCTCTAGCAGTTATCTTAGGTGTACTCTCTAACTGCTTCTTTAGCACAGTTAAGGTACAAACAGATGTCTTCTTCGAGGGGCCAGGCCGAGGTTTAGCAGACGGTAACTCGACACCGTCACCAACCTTGAAATGCTGCACCCAGTTCCTCATTGAACATTCACACACACCAACATTCTCCACTATTTCTTTCATTTGTTGCCCAGCTTTATAAAGCCCTATGATTTGAGCTATAGTTTCAGGTGTTAAAGATTTCCTTTTACCCATAATTGAACATCTATAGCCCCAAAATCAAAGGGAACATCAAACAAAAGATGGGGCGAATGAGAGAAAATGCAACACTTTCTCTCACCACAGCAGCCACGTGAGCACTGAGGAGTCACTGTGGAGTGTGGTAGCAGGCCGTGATGTCATACTAATGACTGCTACCCAGCATAATGCACTGACGAAAAAAGACCCCCCGTATGGTAGGCCTTTGATTTTCGTCACAGCATTATGCCAGGGTGCTCACCTGGCATAATGCCATGACTAGCACTGCAATAGTATTTCTTACCTTAAATCGTCTTCATCATCTTCTAAGAGCTCATTCACATCCTCTTCATTCATATCTTCAAAACCATCACCTGATAATCTCCTTGCCAGTTGAATAATTTCCTGAACCTGGCTCTCAAGCAAGGGAAAACCAGTCAGAGAATTAACTCCAGAAGGCCATAACTTTCCCCAGCCTGCATTTAATGTTGATTGGGGCACTTCATTCCATGCACTTCTAGCGTAGCTGATGGCATCTGCAATGTTAAATCATTCCAGAAACTTGGTACTGCCAGGTTGGAGTCAGAGTCCATTGATGCAACTAGTTTTTTCAAAATATTTTTTTGTGTAGTTACACTTGAATGACTTAACCCCTTGACTCTCGAAACCTCAAATCCTGAGTGTCTCCTGGTGTCAAAAAAAAAACTTATGAAATGATAGAGAATCTTTTCCCGATGGTAATGACACCAAAAGGACGTAATTTGATGGAAACCTTATGGAATTACGCTCTCGTGAAGTTAGTGACCTCAGCGATATTTTCGAATCGGCAATTTCGCCCACTTTGAGCCCTGTTTTTGGCTAATTCCATTGTGCCAGTCGACCAAACTCATAGCTACTTCTTTAGAACTCCATTTGTTCCATCGATTGAGTACAAGAAACTGCCTATTTACCACTCTCAACTACTCAATAATGTGGTCAGAAACTTGCAATTTGGCCGATTTCACGCAAATTAAAAAATAAGCCAGTTTCAAAATAGGGACCAGAATGAACAATGCAGACACTGCTGGCTCTAAAATAACATTTTCTTTGTTCATCAGTCATGTCTCCAGACCCCTCTGATATTACTCTTGCTTTTTATTTTGAATTTTTATTCAAACAAAAAATAGAAGATTTACTGTTTTGCAAACTACTGCAATATTGTAATAATTGTATAAATAATGTCAACCCATTCGTGGCTGCATATTAGAATGGCTAGTTGGACATTTATTGGACAATGAAATCATTTGTTTACTTTAGAACATCGGCAAAAATCAAACATTTCCCCTACTTTGAGCTCTATTTCAAGGTTCTTTTCATAGTAAAACCAATCAAAATCACAACTATTTCTATAATATGCTTTCCATTCTATCACATGAGACCAAGAAAACGAGAATACACCCATAAATACTATACGAAAATACACCACAAAGTCGGCGTTTTAATCCAAAAAAACGGTCGGAGTTTTTCTCATTATGTACTGCGTGCTGCAGGTTATTTTTTATATAGTGCACAATGACCACACAGACCCAGTCTCTCACATGTGGGCCTACTAGCTTTCTTCTGCCTGATTTGAAGCCGCTAGAATTTTTGAGTATATACACCTACCATCCGACTTACAACCGAGTTCGGTTCCGAGAAACCGGTCGTAAGTCGAACTTTACTACTGAATATCAACAAAACATTTTTGTAATGACTATTTTATTGTTTTATTTTGGTATTTCATGTTTTACTTTACTTTTTATGTTGTTAGTACTGTATTTTATACTGTAAGGTTTAGGATAAACACTGTGTACAACACAAATAGTTGTTTATTTCCCAGAAATTTGGCATAAAAAACACGGTCGTAAGTCGAGTGGTTGTAAGTCGAGCAGGTCGTAAGTCGGATGGTAGGTGTATATGTCAAACACGGTGGCTTGTAAGACATACACCTACCATCCGACTTGCAACCTGCTCGACGTACGACCACTCGACTTACGACCGTGTTTTTTATGCCAAATTTCTGGGAAATAAACAACTATTTGTGTTGTACACAGTGTTTATCCTAAACCTTACAGTATAAAATACAGTACATGTACTAACAACATAAAAAGTAAAGTAAAACATGAAATACCAAAATAAAACAATAAAATAGTCATTACAAAAATGTTTTGTTGATATTCAGTAGTAAAGTTCGGCTTATGACCATTTCGACTTACGACCGGTTTCTCGGAACCGAACTCAGTCGTAAGTCGGATGGTAGGTCTATATATACGACCGAAACATTCAAAGGGTTAATAACTCCTCGATCCAGTGGTTGAATTAAACATGTTGTATTTGGAGGTAAAAATACAACTTTTACATGTGGGGTCACATCTAGCAAAGTTTGTGGATGAGTACGGAAATTATCAAGAATGAAGAGAGCCCTGAAAGTAAGGTTCTTGCTGTGCAAGTAAAACTTGACTTCAGGAATAAAGAGATGCATAAACCAGACAATAAATATTTCCTCTGTCATCCATGCTGACTGGTTTGACCTCCAAATTACTGGTATGGTGTTTTTATCTACACCTTTCAAGGCACGAGGACTCTTAGAGCAGTAAATAACCAGGGGCTTACACTTGAAATTACCTGACGCATTACCGTAAAGGAGCAAGGTGAAGCAATCCTTTGCTGTCTTGAAGTCTGGTGCACTTTTCTCTTGCTGATTGATATAAGGTCTTGTTGGCATTTTCTTCCAAAAAACACTTGTCAGCATTAAACACTTAATGCGGCTCATAGCCACCCTCAGAAATAATTTCCTGCAATTTAGCAGAGAAATTACTTGCTGCTGTATGATCAGCTGAAGCACTTTCACCAGAAAACTTAATATTATGTAACTTATTACACAACTTAAAGTTGTGGAACCAGCCTGTGCTAAACATACACTTTTTTCCGGCCTTCCTTCCTTATCTCATTGGTCTTACCCATAGCCAGGCAGATGTTTGATAAATTAGACACATGTGCAACTCTTGGGTACCTTTATTGAGGAAACGTTTCGCCCACAGTGGGTTTTCATCAGTCATCGTAGGAAAACTTGAGAAAGGAGGGGAATGAGGTAATCAGTCCTCAACTTGATCGATGTTTTTCAATCTATTAAAGATTGTGGACTGAACACATCGACTAAAGGTTGAGGGACTGTTCCTCATTTCCTGTTCTTCAAGTTTCTCTATGTATGGACTGATGAAGCCACTGTGTGGTGAAACGTTTCCTCAATAAAGGTACCCAAGAGTTGCACATGTGTCTAATTTATCAACATGTCGGTCTCTAAACCATTCTTTCTCAGATGTTTGAGTTGGGGAAATATCCCACACGCCATGCTCCAAATTTTTTCCCCTCCCACAAACTGAACCATCTTAAGTTAATTTTAAGAAGTGTTGTATAAAACTGTGCTGCAGTTTTTCAATGGTGAAAACCAAAACATGCCAAATAAAACCGTGTAATATAACGGTTTACTGTACACAATAGTGTAAACACATTGTCAGGCATTTTAGATAAATGTTCTTGGGTTTGTATGGCCCTTCCATCATTTACCCCATTTATACAGGGTAAATGTTAGAAGCCCTCCAGTGAATTTGATTT